CCTATGGACCAAAATGCTTAGAACCATCTTTGTCTATTTTAGGACACAGTTTGTGAGTTAAAAATAGGAAGCAAAGCTGGTGCATATAGGAAGTAGGAATATATATTCGAATAAACATTCTATTAGAGGTTTTAAAATTGAAAACATGAGGTTCAAGGCCAAAACCGTTTCCAATAATTGGGCACATGGTATTCAAGACAAAGTTTAAAAAGCCTCGTAAATAAGTTATTGTTTATGAACTTCTGGCCTACAAAAGAATGATTAACTATGAACTTTTTATCTCTAATATCTTGAAGCTTTAGGAAAATGATTCTCTCCCCATATTTATTGTGTTAAAACATAAAGATAAAGATTTTGTAGGAGGTCAACTTCTACTTGACTCCTTTCTGGATGTTCTCTATGTTGATTGGCTGAGATTATTGTTGTATTTTTCATGATATTAAATGGATACTCATGCCCAGTTCTTTAATTCTTCATCTTTTATATTATATTAAGGCCAATAATGTTATGATTGGGCTTGTTACTTCAATTGAGACTTGGGTTGGTTTCTGATTGATAGGTGGAGTCTTTAGTCTTTGTTGAGTGCTGCAACTCAATAGTATCAATAGTATACATTTGGAATTGATATTTGTTTAGGACGCAGTTACCATGCGGCCAGCCTGCATATTGTAGAAATGCGGGCTTGGCAATATATATATATTTTAAATATAATTTGATCCTAATTTTTGGAGAATATATAATCTTTAACATGGAGATCATGAATATGATTTTTTTTTTGAAAACTAAAAATAATAGTTATATTAAGAAAACATTTGGACCGTTAGTTACAATTGTTTTTGGATGGACCACCTATTTGCATACATCTTTAAGATGGATGCTTTATACCTCTGGACTGCATATTGTAGAAATGCGGTCAAGCCCACATGAAACAATTGTTCTTTTTTTTATGCATTGTGCTTCTATTTAATTATATACATTCTAACCTAATACCAAATTATGATTTATAGTATTTATATCCTAAATAGTATAGTATGAATTTCCCTGATATGTAATTAAGAAAAATAGTGTATGGACAATTTGTAATTATTGTATTGAGTGATGCATTTTCAAATTTATAGTTTGTCTTTTGTCCAGTTTTTTATATAAAATCTATATCCTTTTTCAAAATAATTTTTTTTGGATAAAAGTGACGTATCGTATTGTTTATGAAAATATTTACATCTTTTGGGTTGGTGTAGCTGTTGGGTTACCCACAGTAAAAAAGTAAAATCACCTACACTATGTACAATGAAGAGAAAACAAAGAGGATAAAAACAAAGGAAGTCTTGGTTAGAACTGCTGTCCGTTCACTACGAAACAATTGCCAACCGGCCTCCTTGGCTAGGGCATTGGCAATCCGACTTGGTATGCCAGACCTGCTGAAATGGAACACGTATGTTGCTGGAAATGGCGAAGTTATGGTCTGGCAAATATATGGTCAGACCTGTTGCGATTGCGAGGTATATAGGGCCTTCCTCAAGGCCCATCTGATAATGTTCACTGGATCCCCAACAACTTCGAGAGGACTCCAAATGCGGTCAAACAGTTTGAAAGGTCGATCGCCTGAGCCTTCCTAGATTTTAACACACCAATGGGGCCTGGACCAGAGTGAACATACTGCCAAATGGTTATGAGAAATACCTCCTGCACCAGAGGGACCTGGATTTTCTAGAGAGCAACTGTCAAAATTGAATTTGATGGACCCTATGGGAGGTGTACTCAACAAGTTAGATCTAGCAACTTCCATGGGTCTAGTGGCTTAGATGCGCCTCCAATTTTGTATGAAGTCCATAGAACACCACCTTGAGAACTGTTTTCTATTTTTGGTTCGAAAGGTAACCATGTTCTTTACATTCTCCTTTAATGTTTCCATACTCCTTATCCTACTTTCTAAGATCTGTGCATTGTGTTCGAACCAAATGGACCAGACTCTGGCCACAGTGGAAGCCGACATAAGAATAGGACAGTCAAAGGAGGAGTGGGCAAGAAGTACGCTAAAAGTAGTCGTTCTACAGTTAGTGGCTGAACCGGTTTCCATTCTAAGAGACCCAATCAAAGAGTCCCACAAGTGTATTTGAGCTGGACAATGTAGAAATAAGTGCTTGATGTTCTCCTCAGCTTCCTGACACTCGGTGTATCAGTTTGGTAGTGGCATGCCTCTCCTTTGTGTTTGATCAATGATGAGTGGCTTTTTCTAGATAACTGGCCAGTTGAATGTCGGGTTTCTGGGGAAACATGTGCAGTTCAGGACTTGAACAGAATTTCTAGCCCACTGTTCGTGGCAGTCAATTCAATATAGATGGAGGAAACAGAGGAGTCTGATGAGGCTGGGGCACAAAGAACCTCATCATCCCCATGCTGCAAAATGTAGTTTCTGTTAAGTTGTTCTAAAACTGCAGCCATGTCTGAAATTTCTGTGTTCTGCCGATTTCTTCAAGAGATAGTTGTCCTAACTAAATGACCCCTAAGTGACTCATAGGATTTTTTGATGAGACGTTTCTTGATCTGTGACCACGTGAAACAGACATGGGACTAAGCAGTCTAGAAAGCATTCCCCAAGCCACTAATCCTTCTATAGTTTGATTTTGAGCTCCCAATTTAGTCAAAATAAGGTTCAGCATGAGATATTTTCATACACAGTAGATATACCCCACCGTGCCCTGGAAACCTTAGTACCTGTGAGGGGCTCTGGAAACCAGTAAAGCTGCCATACGTGTACTGAATAACACTACCAAATATCGGTTTGTGATGCAAAGCACCACCACTTGCTAAGTAGGGCCAGGTTTCACTCTTTAACCTCCTAATACCCAGGCCCCCTTCCCTCAAATGGAGCTTCTTTGATGCAGGAAATCTCATATAAGCTTGAGCCCATTAAGGATGGGTATACACGTAGGCATCTTAAACTATGACATATGGAGAATTGGGATATTGGAAAGGGTATATTTGAAAAGCCTGATCGTGCCTCTGAAAGATAGAAACCTAGTTTCCATGTTGCCAGCCACCTCTTAAAAATTTCAACCATGCTTTCCCATTGTGATTTTCTTGGTTTGCCAAGGCAGAGTGGTATTCCCAGTTACTTGTTGGGATGGGGCTCTCTCCCACATCCCAGCCCTCTGGCCAGCACGAGCTTCTCTCAAAATTTTCTTGTAAGTGAGATATTTGAGGCCCCCTACTGGCATAGGCAAAGCCACTGAGAAGGTTTGCATTGTAGAGGTTAGAAATGGACCTACTAGAAGTTTCTCCTATGAAGAGGAAGTGGGAGGGGCGGCGGGTTCCGCAATGAGGGGAAGAAGCCTTGCGGATATTCATTCATCTAGACCAATAATTTCAGTGATTTTAGACACCTGGAATCCACTTTCTCCAGCTACTCCCAAAGCCCATATGCTCAAGTGTCTGTTCTAGGATTTTCCAACCTACATAGGATCATAATGCTTTTGCCCAATCTATATGATCACATGCTTTTCGCAATCTCCCTTGAACACCTATAGGAAGTTCAGGCTGATGCGAGGAGTGAATACATTCATGGCCAATAAGCGCCTCTTCCAAACTTTGAAGGATTTTAGCAAGTATTTTAAAGGAGCTGTTGAGGAGGCTTATTGATCTAAAATCCTTTAGGGCGTGTTTGATTGTGGAAGATGGGGTTGTCAAAGCCCCCTCTTCCATGAAATATGGAAGCCACCGCTTCCTATTCTGATGCTATTTTAAACCCCTGTTGAATGCCACACTACCATCTTGGGGTTTCCATGGGGGTGTGCAACAAACATGGAGTGGGATGGGTGGAACTTTGTCTCGCACTACCCAAAAGTTCGACCAAAACAAACACGCCCATAGTTCCTCAGCCCCTTCCAGTTTTGTCACCAGAGCAATAAAGGTAGCATGCATGCCTCGATGAACAATACCTGATTACCTGTAGTGTAAAATTCTCCAAACAGGGGCTACTGCCCAGAAATGATGGAGCAAAGCTATCAGAAACCTTGCTCTTAATCTCAGGTTAGATCTTTTGATATTGCCAATCTGTGAAATGGATCTTTTCACTTTCATGAGGAAGGCAGAGAAAAATTCATTAGCCCAGTGTGGTATCTTGAAGATGGGTTTCATGTTCAGGAGGCTGTTCCACTGTTGTAGTGTCTGTATGTTGGCGCCAGTAAGTATTAATTCATTATTCAATGATAAATGCTTGTTATCAAGAAGGAAATTATAAGTAATTCTTTTCCTGGCAAAATGTAAGTGATAACAAGGAACCGCATTGTAAATCAGGCCAAAGTAAGTCTCAAGATTCCCATTACTTGCAATCATAATTTTTTACATTTTTGATATGGAACCTTAATTGGTTGGAACAAGTAAATTTTATGTTCTGCAATTAAAAGAAAAAGAGCTGTTGATTCACTAGTAATTTGCAGCCAAACCAAAATAATGCTTTGTAGGAACAGCAAACCATAACCATCCTTTTGCTTTCATTGAATTTCTTAACATTTTCACTCAGAAGAACATCCACCCATAAAAGAACATATTTTTATTCCTCTATAATTAAGAATTGTGTAAGTTAATGGTGTGACATCTTAATTCAGTTACATTTGCTCATGTCGTTGTCAACTTTATCGGAGCTTATGGTAGCATCTTGCAACTTAGTTTGTTACCTTAAATTGCAACCATTGGATATGCCATAGGCATTTTCGGAAACACCATATTTTAAACTATTCAATTCTTTATTAGACAAATCCTGAAAAATAGGACACTTTTATTGATATTTGCACTCGCTTTCTCAGTAATTGATCTGGTTCATGACTCAGCTCACTATAGATTATTATGATTGATAGGTGGTGGTTTATTTCTTTTATATCATTCAATTCATCATCATACGATACTGAAAAGCCTGAACAGTTCATTGATGTATTCAAATTCTCTCTTTCTCTCATAATTATCTCTTTGGGCTGCTGATTATAGATTATTCTCATATATAGATGGTGTTTTCTCGACATAGAGAACAGTTCCACAGATGACACCCACAGCAGCACAAGGAGGGTTCGCACCTCAAGCTCCCTAAAGATGGTGGGTGACTCGAAGCCCCCTCCTTCCAAACGCTCTCGTAGAGAGAGAAACCATGAGAGAAACAAAGACAAGGTCCAATCTGAACCTATGGAAGAGCAAATTTGGAAGGACTTCCCAGAAGACCTCTTCGAGGCAGTGATTGCTCGTCTCCCCATTGCGACCTTCTTTCGATTTCGTTCAGTCTGTCGAAAGTGGAACTCGCTTCTTGGCGCCCAAAGCTTCTCTCTGCAATGCGCACAGGTACCCCAACGTCTCCCTTGGTTCTACACCATAACCCATGAAAACACAAATGCTGGTGCTATATATGATCCCTCTCTCAAGAAATGGCATCACACCACCACCCCACCATTGCCATCTAGGGCTATAACCCTACCCGTGACCTCAGCAGGTGGCCTAGTTTGCTTCCTTGACATAGGCCACCGAAACTTTTACGTATGCAACCCGCTAACCCGCTCATTCAAAGAACTCCCCTCGAGATCTGTTAGGGTTTGGTCTCGGGTAGCTGTTGGAATGATACTCAATGAAGGGGACACTAGCTATAAGATCCTATGGTTAGGGTGCAACGGAGATTTCGAAGTATTTGATTCTATCTCTAACACTTGGGCTCGATCAGGTAGCATGCCCACTGATATCAAGATACCGTTGGCCCTAAACTTCAGGTCCCAAGCCGTTTCAATAGGTGGGTCCTTGTATTTTATGAGAACAAACCCTGATGGGCTCGTAATTTATGATTCGAACATTGGGGCTTGGCAACAATTGGTGATACCACCACCACCACAAGCTACCGACCTTGTGTTGGCTCAATGTGGGTCTCGAATCATGCTTGTAGGCTTGCTTTCAAGAAATGCGGCCACATGCGTGTGTGTTTGGGAGTTGCAAAGGATGACCCTTTTGTGGAAGGAGGTTGACAGAATGCCAAATATAATGTGCTTAGAGTTTTATGGAAAGCAAGTGAGGATGAGTTGCTTGGGGAATAGGGGTTTGGTGCTCTTGAGCTTAAGGTCGAGGCAGCTGAACCGGTTGGTTGTGTATGATGTCGAGCGGAGAGAGTGGAGCAAGGTGCCTGCATGTGTGTTGCCGAGAGGGGGGCGGAAGCGGCAATGGATCGCATGTGGGACATCATTCAGGCCCTGCCTCACAGCCTCGGCATGAGAGAGAGAGCTTCTCGTCTCTTTGGCTCTGGGATTGTGGAGGTACGTTATGTGCTTATGTGATTCGCGTGTCTATTGCATTGGAGGGAGGGTGGGTCTCAAAGCGAATTTTGTTTTGAGTTAATTTCGACTGAGAAAGACAATTGGAAAGGTTGACTGACTGACTGACTCTTGGCTAAAATTTGTTTGAACTTAAGCTTTATGTTGGTGGACCTGATTGCTCTCTAGGTCTTTCGTGCAGATGGTATGAATGCTTGGATTGCTTCTCAAGTTTCTTTCATTGTTTTATTGACGCAGAGAGAAAGAGAGGACGCAGAGAGAGAGAGGAGAGAGGCTTCCAAATCTAAAAAAATTTTGAGTGAGGCTTCCAATTCTAAAAGTTTTTTGAGATAGATTATTTTGATTTTTCTTGTGGCAAGGGGTCTTGCAATGTTAATGCGAGTTTAGATGGTCCCTTGGGGCCTTCTAAATTTATGGAGTAGGGTGGGTGGGTGGGTTTTGGCATCCCCACACCTGCATGCGGCTGCCGTCTGACAAAGATGGGACTCCACAAGATGCTACCATTCATAATGTTTGCATGCATCAGTGAACCTTGTGCGTTGTTGTTTTCATCGGACGACTAGTAGGGCTGCACTTGAATGCTCCCAAAACATTAAAAACATTTTTCCTTGGAAAAATCAAGCCATAAATGATAGAAAAAACTAGCTTCCTCTCCACCACTATTTAGTAACAATGCGACAGATAAACGGTGTTTGGGTCTATGGGTGATGTAAATGTCTAATCTCGCTTGGGAGTATAATTTAAATCTACTCCTACGGTCAAAAGACTTAGTTGGGAGGATCTTTTCAATATTAAATTTTGAGAATCACCTGAGAACTAGTAAATGATTGTCTCAAAAAAATATTTGAGTTTTTAGTTTTTCTAAGAATTAGATTTTATTATCTAAAAAATTTAGATGGTCTGTCTCTATTCAATCTCAAGCCATTGTTTTTTTTTTCGAGTACGTAGTGGAGGGTACAATTTTTTTATTGAAGTTAATCTATAGGTTAAAGTGATTACATCCCTAAAATTTGGAGTCCTAAAATTAATTCCAAGTGGGGTTTTGATGAAAGGAGTAAATAAACATCCTACTCTCAGTAGAGTATGAATATTTTTTTATAATGTATTAGAGCGTATGAATATTTTTTATAATGTCTAATACATTCATCTAAAAAGTTGACAGGGCTAATGTTCGTATATTTATTGCGTGTTAAGTGTCATATTACAATATCTTTTAATATTATATAAGTTTCGATTATGTAACAAGAAATAAGTCATGGAAAGTTGGAAAACTTAGAAGTTTGAACACTTGATAGTATTAAAATGCAAGTGACTACATACTGTGCTTCCCCGTAATAAAAAATAGTGCTCTAGTCCAACCTACAGGTTTGGAGGGTTCAAAGAGTTATGGAGACAAACGGGATTCCACATTTTCTACAGGGTTGGTTTGTATAAGTTGTAACTTTCAATAATTAAATTAAGGCGCTTCTCCAAAATTTATCATAAGATGCAATTCTACTGTTAAAAAATTCTTAATATGGCTTAAAAATATATTTTTATAACTAATTATAAATTTGTAAACTTAAAAAAGTATTTAAAATAAAACAAATTTATAAAATACATGAAACTCTTAAAAATGGAAGGTCTAGATAATTTATTGCAAGATACACTATTTTTGAGACTCAAAAAAGTTTTTTTTTTTTTTTTCATATTCATACATTTCGATATCAAGATGATTTTCCAACATAAATAGGTTGAAAAGCTGACGGAGAAACAGGATCCAATCTGTGAACCGAACAAGTTGCAGTTGGTGCTTACACAAAAGCACAGCACAGCTAAGAAATAGTGGTAGAATAACCATTTAGCGAGCGATCAGTAAAAAAACACGCTCTAAAGAGTCTTCCTGCTGCATTGTGATGCAGCAGAGAGACAGTATGCACACATTTATAGCACTAAGTTGATGCAAATATTTTGCTTCAGCAATCTGAAAAATCAAGCTAAAGTGTTTGACTATTCTCGAGCGAATCTCATGTGTGTATACGCGACACACAGAGAGATCAGTGCAGTATTATTTGGCAAATTGCAAGGGGAGTAATTCTTTGAAAAATTTAGAAGGAAAGAAACAAGAGTCTTTGATGAAAGTAGTCTGTCATGTGACAGAGTTTTGGAGAAAACCCTGCATTCTATTTGGGTGTATTTATCGATTTCAAAAGTGGGAAAAGATATTGTGGAAGTTGATGTAAGGAATAATTTATTTATCCTATTTCAATTGGGATTTGGGAAATGTAGGCCTAATGGTAGATGGTCTCCACCGTCTAGAGGGGTCTTGAAATTAAAATTTGATGGGAGCTCTTTAAAGACTCCTAACCGTACGGGTTTTAGAGGAATTGTGAGGGAATGGGTTGGTAAAGTTTTGTTTACTTATGTAGGTCCTTTTGGTAAGAAAACAACAAACTATGCTAAACTCTTGGCATTCCTTTAGGGTCTTAAGATCTTTTGTGCTAAAAATTAGGATCTAATTGTATTGTAGAAGGAGACTTTTTTAATGTTATCAACTGGTGCAATAAGGAGAAGAATGTTCCGCGGGAGCTGAGATTATTCTTGTTTCAAATCTTTGATCTCTCACATTCCTGGCCTATCTCCTTTGTAGAGTGTTTTGGGAGGCCAATGTTTTCGCTAATAATCTCGGGAAGATCGGTATTTCTCTCGCAGAGACGCTTGTCTAATTCGTAGTTTTGTTGTATTTCCTCTGATGGTTTAATAACATTCTTGAACTTCTCTATAAAAACAAAAAAAAAGAAAAAAAACATAAGTGCAGTGTCTCTACACTGGACACTTCCCTCAAGAGAGAAAAGTCAAACTACAGAATGTGTATGCGTATATATATACTGCATGAGACCCCAATTGATAACCATAGGATTCATAACCACATCCAATGAAATATGTTAACCTTCGTAGAATAGCTTTCCTAACCTTAGTAGAATAGCTTTCCTAACCTTTATTTTTTTTTTTGGGTACAGTAGCAGCCCATTTTTTCTACTGCAAGACCCTTTCCATTTAATTGGTACAGTCGCAGCCCATCTTTTGTCTTGCAAAACCCTCCCTTTAAACCTCCTCCACTTTCTTTCTGAATGTTTGTTTTCTCTTAAAATCCCCTCGCATTTTTTCCCTTTAATTCGTACAGTAGCAGCCCTTCTTTTCTACTGCAAAACCCTTTTCATTTAATTGGTACAATAGCAGCCCATCTTTTGTACTGCAAAACCCTCTCCCTTTAAACGTCCTCCACTTTCTTTCTGAATGTTTGTTTTCTCTTAAAATCCCCTCGCATTTTTTTCCCTTTAATTCGTTCAGTAGCAGCCCTTCTTTTATACTGCAGAACCCTGTCCCTTTAAACCTCCTCCACTTTCTGTCCAATTGTTTGTTTTTTCTGAAAATCCGCTCGCATCTTTTGTACTGAAAAATCCTTTCCCTTTAAACCCCCTCCACTTTCTATCCGAATGTTTGCTCTCTCTGAAAATCCCCTCGCATCTCTCTCTGTCGACAGAAACCCAAAAAACAGAGACCCATTAGTTTAGAGAGAGAAGTATTGGAAACTTTCTCTCTATCGACAAGAACCCACTAGAAAGATACCCATTAGTTTAGAAAGAAAAGTACATGAAACTCTCTATATCAACAAAAACCCATAAAAAGTTTTAAAGAGAAAAGTGCAAAAAACACATGCTTATAATTATTCAACATCTGCACAAATTAATCCAATTATTTTATAGTTCAAAAAACATAAACATTATTCTCAATTCTTTGTCCTCGAAAATTTCTAAATTTCAATATGCCAATAAATTAAAAAACAGATTTCTCTCTCATTCTACTTATAAAATGGAAAACTTCTAGGGCTAATCACCCCTTTATGCTGAAAGAAGCCACAAAAGAATCATTGTAAAAATCACTGTATAAACACGATGAGTTCCCCATAAAAATTCTTCCAGACGAGAAAACTTGGGAATTTTATTCGCTTGTTCTTGTAATTTCAAAGATTGATCCAAAAAATCACTTCCTCATCAACTGAAGCCAGCGATAGGAACTCTAGATGTAATCAGATTTAGTATATAGTTACAATAAAGCTCCTATAAAGTTTTTGCAAGTGCTCCTCAGCGAGCTTTTGCAACATAGAATACCGAAGGGGTTTTTTTTGGAGTTTCTCTCTAAACAAATGGGTTTGGATAGAGATAGATACGAAGGGATGTAGAAAAAGAGCATATTAATAGAAAGTAGAGGAGGTTTAGAAGTTAAAGGGTTTTGCAATCCAGAAGACGAGCTGCAACACTACTAAAAAAAAGTTCGGAAAGCCAAGTGGCCTGGCATCCCATATTTCTTAGGATGTGGATACGAAACTTACGGTTATCAATTGTAACGTGCGGTTGGTATATGGGAGGGTCTAATATATATATATATATATATATATATATATAT